AATTTCCACAGCCTGGCACGGTGCCTGCCCTAGACACATTTGAAAATGTTTGTTGAATTGTTAAATTAATTAATTAATTAATTAATTGTTAAATTAATGTTGATAATCTCACCACTTCTCATAAGCCCCCTTTTACACTGCTAAGCTTTATCAGTAAAGACATATTCTCCATCTAGGTTCCTTACCATCTGCTAGTTCTTCTCCAGGCTTTGGTCTGCCTGCTTCTCTTACCCTGATTGGAATCCCGTTTTCTTTCCTCACCTTCAGCTCCTCAACTTTCTTCATTTTCCCATTTTCTAGTGTTCTCTGTTCTTCTCCTTCTGTAATTTATATTCAACTATTCTTAGTTCCTGCTTTCTTTTTTGGGAAAAAAAGAAAATTTCCATTCTATGTAGAGCTGTCCAGTGCTTCTGATGACTGTAGTACCTACTGTCCTATTAGTCCCCCACAGATGTATCTTTCACTCACCAGGTAGGACAGTTTCCTTCTCAAGAGGGACATTGCCCTCTTCTTTTCTGATCCTCAGGATGAAGAAGAGTTGGTTTCAACCAGATCCCAATTTCTCTGATTTTACCGGTGTCTGTCACCTTTACAAAAGGATTCTGGGAAGATTCTTGCAGGATCTAAAGATTAGATCTTGTTCTTATCTCTCTCATGTTCTGTCAAAATTCTTGACCTGGAGACCTACTGAAGATGTGGCAAATAGATACTACTGCTTTTTTCCTTCTTTCTAGAAATTTCCAATGTTTCTATTCATTTCAAAATAGTTTTTCCTAATAAATCCCTCACACAGGCACATCTTACATTGGGGGCCAGTTTTATGTCTTTATAGTGACTGTCTTCTGCTTCTTTGAGTTTTCAATACAGTATTCAGGAACATTTTTCAAAAGTCCTCCATCATAGAAAACATTTTATTTTTCATCCCACTAGTGCCCCTCCTTAGAGGAAAATTTTATTTTCCATGTGCCTTGCTTTGGCTAAAATTATGTGAGAACAGTGTTGTGTGTCTCTTCTGAGTAGATATTTTCCTAGTTTACCATGATCCCTTTTTCTTCTGACACAAGACTAGCAAGAATCAAGACAGAGATTGGTCCATTAACATGTTCCTAGAAGTGAAGATGACACAGAACAGAACCCCAACTAACCCATTACAAGCATGCAGCATGAGCAGAAAATAACCTGTCAATGGAAGCCACCAGTATTGTGGCTGTCACCAAGCCCATCTGGCAAGTACAGGGAAGAATTCAAGAATGCACTTTTAGCTAATGTGACAAATGGAAACAGTTGTGCAGTGCACTTCCATTCAATGTGTTTATTTTTCTGTAGTCAGAGAAAGGCCATGATAATTCACTACAGACAGCGTTTGATCAATTTTCTGCTGTAGCCATCCTGTCTGATGGTTCGAGCATTATCAGGGGAGGGTTTAGAGACCTAGATGGACCCTTGTGTGTGGTGGGCTACACTAAATCTCAAGAAAGGAGGACTACTGTGGGTGGTAGCTGAATTGAGGGAAGAAATAAGGAGTTTCAATATCAAAACAAACCAATAATGATTGAGGCTAAGACTGGATAATAGTCTTAAAAAATCTAATAAGCATAGTCTAATTTCTCCATTTTCATTTTCATATAACACGCATTCAAATGTCAAATACACTCTGCTAGGAAAAATAAAGGAAGCTTGATACCTTATGTCATTTTTTTCCAGCAGGTTATCCGGATGGAAAAAAGTATACAAAATGTATAGAGCCTTAATGAAGCTTAGAAAAGTTCATGGATGACAGACCCATAAACAGTGATTAGAAAAAGATAGACCAGCTTAACCTGGCACTGAGCTTCAGAGATCAAGAACAGGACAAACAAGCTCACCTTGTGCACCCCTTCTAAGATGGCCCACCCTCCACTAGGTGGACACTAAAGGGAAGTTAGGGTGGCATTTATGGTTTTCTTAAAATAGCAGAGGAGTTTGTCATTCAACGGGTAGCAGATTTGCTTTTTGCCTTTACACTTGCTACATGAAAGCTGCCTTTATATGAGTGTCACCAGCTTGTCATTTTATAAATCACTGCTGCCGTGCCAAATAGATATGTGCATCGGTAAGACTGTCCTTTTTTTGCATAAGTCTCATAAATCAACATCAGTGAACAATTCTCGGCATAGGTAGTCTTTTAAATGTAAAATTGGGATACATAAAAAAGAAGACTGTGATGTGGAAAAAGGATCTCTTAAGAAATGATGTGTGTTTGTTTGAGAGAGTGAAAGAAAAAGGGAGGCTAAGCCAGATAGAAAGTTTCCCTTATTCACATGCTCTGAGTTACGAGCCAGAAGGCACAGTAGTTCTTGAAGGAGAGAAGCAAAAGTGAAGTTTTACTTTGTAGGGTGTTAAAAGTTTGCGTTTTAGGACCCTTGGGAGGGGTTATCTTTGAAGTAACCTCAAGTATCACTGGACTCACTAGTATTCCCTAAAAATACATGTTTATAAGAAAAAGAACATGATGAATGTGATGTCCAAAGAAGGTGACAAACGGATTAGTTTCAACTAAAAACAGTGAGAACTTCAGCTTATTAAGTGCTCACTCTGGGTTGCATACTTCCTAAACACCTTTCTGTAAGAGCACAGTCAATCCTCATGAGAAATATCTAAGATGGGCACTATTGTCATTGTCTTTTTATAGAAAAAGCAACTCAGGCATGGATCTATTATTAAGTAACTTGGATAAGATCACACAGCTGATAAGGGGCAGGGCAGTGTTTGGACACCAACATTATGACTCCAGGGTCCATTTTTTCCTTGTTGGGCCCTATTTTCCTTGATGACCAGTGTAGACATTCTTAGAGTATGGTATCCAATTTGACAATGCCCTTGACCTTGCTTTAAAGTTCTTTCCAAAATAGGTTCTATCTTGTGTAACACCTTGAAGGGGATAGAATGGACCATGACTGTAAATAGTGATTCACAGGGCAACCCGTGTTTAGTGTAATAACTGCTGGACAGATCTATGGGTAACTCAAGAACATCTCTGAAAGCCTGAAATCTGGGTCGTGCAAGGTTCTTAGAACAGATTTTGTGACGAGCCTGTGACTAAAGTGTACTGTCGACCAATTAGTGCATGCATGATACATGATAAAATTGCTTCTCCTCTCCTTAACACTGCTACTCATCTATAAGACAAGTAAAATGATACTGGTCTCATAGAGATTGTTGGTAAGATTACATATTCTTGGCCCTTAGTAAACGTCAACAAATGATAGTCATTTTTAAATTTGGCTTGAATGACTGTTGCTGCATCTTTGCTCAGGGGTTCCACATTCCAGAATTAGGTTTTCAGAGCTTTGCTAAAAGCCTGGTAGTGATGATCACCCAATCCTACACTTCAATCATGAGAAGGAAGAGGACTTACCTTGAAGAACCACTTGGAGAAAGAAGAAACACTCTGATTCTTTAGAACGTGAACATTTTGAATCAAACTAGAGATGTACATTTCAGAAAAAAAATTATTGAGGTCAGGGCAATGATGTCCATACTAGAATATTGAACACTTTAGTGAGACAGAATGACACAGGATATGGGTTATAATTGAAAGAACTTTGAGAAAGCCAAAATCAGATCTTTTCTGCAGATCCTCCCTGCCCAGGTTAAGATAGAGCAAAGCAGTCTCCAGAGGCTGTCTCTCTGGACTTCTACCCGTTGCTGGAGCAGATATTATCTGATAAGAACAGAAGGGACATAGAAGAAGTTTTCTTTTAACTGTATTTCTGAGAATGATCCCTTATAATTATACTCATTCGAACAGAACTTTTCTGGGGGATGAGAGGAGCAGCCATGTTTTCAAAATTCCTCATGCTAATTCTGAGGTATAATTACCTCCAACTGGACCCCATTGTACTTTCAGAGCGTTCACATACATGCACAAACATAGGAAGCACGCATTTGAAGAGATAGGGTGGTTCTCAGAGCCACCCACACAAATAATTCCCAGGACTTTGTTCACTGCTCATGCTTGTGTCTCTAAATAAAGGCAGGTAGATACACTGAAGTATATTTTAAAACTCACTTCCAGAAAAGTGTCCCACACAAATAACCGTTATGCTTCTTCTCAGCCATTGGTAATTAAACATTCTGCAATATTTTTGCTGCGGCTACCAGGAAGTGACATGCAATGCTTTGTTCCTATCTTAGTTATGGTTTAGTGGGGGGTGTGTGTGTGTGCTCGCTCGCCCTCTCTTTCTCTCTCTCTCTCCACACACACACACACACACACACACACACACACACACACACGCACACACACACATATATATCCTATTCCACCACTGTTAGTCAAATTACCTGTGTCTATTACTGAACCAGGTCTTTTTTTGTAAGATACTTCAAATTATTATTAAAACTATTAAGATTATATATAAATAATTGACTAAATAGAAACATATATTTTTTACTCTAAAATTGCCTAAACCAGAGTATATGGTAATTTCACATTCACTGATCCCATTTCCCTCATCCTCTTTTCTCTGGGGCCTAACAGGTAGGTGCCCCTAGAGATGCATCGCTAGTCCTCTTGTGATAATAATATACAGCAAAGATTATTTAGGAAGCTCCCTTTCTAGTATTAAAATGAATTCTTCAAGGAGGTCCATTTGAAAGGGCTCAGGCGTTATGTGCCATGTCATAGCTCTTCACTTAACAGGTCCGAAGGTAATCATTTCTAAGAAAAGATGAAAGGAACTCAACATGTGGGGACTGAAAAATAATGACAAGTGTAGAGAACAGGCCAGATAAAAGGAGGGTAAAGGGCATTGTCAGCGTGCCACGCGGAGGCTTTGGTTCAATCGGCGCACATGGAAAAAATGATGAAAAAGCACACAAAGAGCACACTGTGCCTTCATTCCCCACGTGCCTTGATAAACAGTGGGCAGGGAGATGAAGGCCCCTGTTCCCCGGATAACAGTGGGCAGGGAGATGAAGGCCCCTGTTCCCCGGATAACTTGCTGTGCGGGAGGAGCGCGTCTCTCCCTCCCTGGCTCACTTTCCTTTCTCTCTCCTCAGCTCTCTTCATTTGTTTTTCACATTCTCCAAAGTATTATCACAATTTCTTCCTTTTTCATACGCCTTTAATATTTCTATTGCATCTCAGACCTGATACATCCAGGTTTTTAGCTAAATGTTGCTGTGTGTGTGTGTGTGTGTGTGTGTGTGTGTGTGTGTGTGTGTCTGTGTGTGTATGTTTTATTTCATTAAGCAGAATTTAGTCTGTGGATTGTATATTTCAGAGGCAGCTCAGCTCTGTGTGTTTCAGCTTCTCTTCCCCTGGTACATTGAGCTCTGGCCCCAGGCTCAGGCTGCCTGTGCATGACAGGTATAAGGCCAGCATTCTGTGATTCACCTGGAATACACAAGTCCCCACTTCTTCCTCATTTCTGTGCCTCTCTGGAGGGAACCCTGGCAGCCCTTGCCTCAGTTTCTGGGACAATCCAGGCAGCTCTCCATCACTGGAGAACACCAGATGGAATGGATGGAGGCAATTTTGCAGAAAGTGCTTTAAGAGCAGCTTCCTCAGTGGTCTTTCCAGCTGGAAGCAGAGCGTCCAGAAAGCACCGCATTCTCAGCCCTGTTTCATCGCCTCAAGAGCTACAGATGGCTTCCCCAAGCACCTGAAGTCGATGCTGCTTGCCTGGATTGGATAAGCTGCAAGCTGCAGAAACTCTTTTGTCTTTTCACAGTGCAACTCAGACTCCAGTTTCTTTCTGCCTTGAGAGTGAAAGAAAGGAGCGGATACAAAGTAGGAAAGAGCCAGAAGGTGGAGAAATTAATGTTTAATGCTTGATACTCCCCGGGCCTGGCCAGCTGCTCAAAAAAGGTACATAAGGGGATATTTATAATGTTGCTTCCTGTGGCCGCACATAAGCAAGACTTTGAAAGTGGCCCAAGTCTCTTTCTCCGGAAAGATGTGGGTTTACTAGTTGAGTTTGAATTGATTCCATGGTTCTTGCATGTTACTAAGTATAGCAGTTTTTTTATTCTTTTCTTTCTTTCTTTCTTTCTTTCTTTCTTTTTTCTTACTTTTTGACTTGACAAACAGTGGGCCGGGAGATGAGGCCCTGTTCTCCCTGGTAACTTGCTATGCGGGAAGAGCCCCTCTCACTCCCTCCCTGGCTCCCTTTTACTTCCCTCTCCTCAGCTCCTGGCCATGTGTTTCTCACATTCCATTGTTTAGTTCTGTTAATATCAGCCAGCGCTCAACTTAGCTGAGATTAAGGTATTGTCATAAGAAGCCACTGGCATTAGATAATTTCTGCTGTGTTAATGATTCTTCCATTTGCTTTCTATTTTCACTGAATGTTGGGGAATTTGACTCTGGGTAACTGGCTGATCTGAAGTGGAAAAGGTTTTACAAGAATGAGTAAGCTCATGACAGATGCCAGAAAGGCAGACAGAAGTGATCTTTGGTTTTGCGGAGCTACCTTTAAGAGGCCAGGAGTGGCTACTTGGTGTTGGGTCCAGGACTGTTCCACTGTCAGTGGAGACCTCGCAGTTGCTGTCTGTTATCATGACAGTTATTTAGAGAAACGAAATGTTTTTCTGATTGATATGATTCATATATTTTTCTCACTCCATCCAAAACCAAGTTTCAAGTCTCGTGATCTTTCTTTCCACATTCTGCCCTGCTTCCTAAGCCTGCTCAAAGCAGACAGGCACCAGGACATATCTGTCTTGCCAGATAGAAACCATTTCAGGCAAGGTTTACCTCCATCCTCCTCACTTCTCCACTACTGGGGCTGAAGTGCAAAAGGAAAGAGTAGTGTTGATAATCATAAGCTCCCAACTCCCTAAAAACTGGTGGGCTAGTGGTTACAGTGGACCATGCTAGCGAGGATACATATACCCTTCTTTCTTCAAGATGGGGTACCGTCAGAGGAGGCTGACTGCTGGTTCCTACCATGACCCACACGATGCCAGGAAATTCTGTTTCTGATGCCACGTGTAACTCCAGCTGGTGCCCAGTCTAGAGAAAAGTGCAGGGGAAGCCTGATAACAGGCAGAGGGCTCTCTGCCCTGACATAGCGACAGCCATTGTGCAATCACATGTCTCTATATTAAAGGGATTGGAAATTGTCAGAGTACTTTTGTATTTGGCAATTCATTTCAGTCTTGTGTTAAACCTGAGATGTGACAAAAGAAACATATCCCAGAACATATCGGGTTTCTGTCCAAAGCCTGGAAGGTGAGCTGCAGCCACCAAACTTAACTAGCAACTCACAAGTGGGGCTGAAGTCTTTCTGTATTGTGTGAATTCATTCCTGGGGGTTTGGAATGTGCAAAGCAGTGCACTGTCTACTTTTGACTCCAGGAAATCAGTGACAGCCATATGCCATAAATAACAAAATAAACTGTGATAAGGAGTGAAATTACATGATTTTATTTCTGCTGTGTACATTTTTTTTTGTTAAACATTTAACCTTTTATTTTTTCTTTTGATTTTAACTTTTAAATTTAGGGGTACATGCACAGGTTTGTTACCTAGGTGAACTCCTATCACAGGGGTTTGTTGTACAGATCATTTTGTGACCCAGGTGCTAAGCTTAGTGCTCATGAATTATTTTTCCTGATCTTCTGCCTCCTCTCACTTTCTACCCTTAGTTAGGTCCCTCTGTCTGTTGTTCCCTTTTATGTGATCATGTGTTCTCACCATTTAGCTCCCACTTATAGGTGAGAACATGCAGTATTTGATATTCTGTTCCTGCATTAGTTTGCTAAGGATAATGGCCTCCAGTTCCATCCATGTTCCTGAAAAGGATATGATCTCAGTTTTTTTTATTGCCGCGTAGTATTCCACGGTGTATATGTACATTTTCTTTATCCAGTCTACCGTTGATGGGTATTTGGGTTGATTTCATGTCTTTGCCCTTATAAATAGTGCTGCAATGAACACGCATGTGTCTTTATGATAGAATGATTTATATTTCTTTGGGCATATACTCAGAAATGGGACTGCTGGGTTGAATCCCATGCTGTGGATCACCACATGGTTCTCTACAATAGTTGAACTAATTTATACTACCTCCAACAGTGTCTAAGCCTTCCTTTTTCTCATCATCTGTTACTTTTAGACATATTAATAATAGCTATTCTGACTGGTGTGAGATGGTATCTCATTGTGATTTTGATTTGCATCCCTCTAGTGAGCAGTGCTGTTAAGCTTTCTTTCATATGCTTGCTTTCCGCATGTATGTCTTCTTTGAAAAGTATCTGTTCATGTCTCTTGTATATTTGTTAATGTTTTATTATTGTAAATTTGTTTAAGTTCTTTACAGATGCTGATGATTAGATGCATAGTTTGCAAAAGTCTCCCATTTTGTGCATTGTCTGTTTACTCTGCTCATGGTTTCTTTTGCTGTGCAGAAGCTCTTTAGCTTAATTCCATCCCATTTGTCAAATTTTGTTTCTGTTGTGACTGCTTTGGCGTTCTCACTGTGAAATCTTTGCTTGTTCCTGCATCAAGAGTGGTATTGTTCCAGTTGTCCTGTACTTTGGGACACTGAGGTCAGCAAATCGCTTGAGCCCAGCAGTTTGAGACCTGCTATGTATTTGATTGTGAATGCTGTACTTAAATATTGTTTTATTTTAGGGTTACAATAGCAATTGTATCTTTTCATTAATGTGGTGAAATTGACACACAGAGACAAGTAATTTACTAAGGCCTCAAAGTTAGCGAATGATAATTCCAGAACTTAAACATGGTTCTAATGGGCTACAAATTATATATTTTTCTTATATACTCAGTTTCCTCCAAATAATATCTAAGACTTAAACAATGCTTTATCACTTATAAAATGTGTTCATACCCTCAATTGCGTTTGGCTCTTAGCAACTGTATTTGACCTAGTTAACATTATGGATGAAGGACTTAATGGTCAAATCGTTAATGGATTTTCCCGGATCACAGGGCTAGCAACCTATAGAATTAGAACTCAACACAGTTTTTCTTTTTCAAGTTTCTTTTGCTATGTTGTCCTGCCTTCTTGGTAAATAATAGCAGCAACCATCCTTTCTGGAACATTTCATCTGTCCCAGTCAGTATTTGAAGTGTTTTACTTGGCTTCCTCCACTTAACCTTCATAAGAAAACCAAGCGAGGCAAACACCATTATTATTCTAAATTTGTAGACAAGAAATTTAGAGATTTTTCCAAGGTTGTACAGCTAGTAAGTGCTAAGCCTGGGATTTCATCCCAGATACTTTCTGACTTCAGGATCTAAATCTTCACCATAATACTATACTGTCTCTCAGCTTGCCAACCCCTGCATACCTCCTCCAATGTGCTCTAAAATGTACTAGGGGTGCACAGTTTTACAGGAGGATAGAAGAAGGACATACTGATTCCAGCTAAAGAGATCTCTGGGAGCTTTGTGGAAGAAGTGACATTTGAGCTAGGCCTTAAGAGATTAAATATCTAAGGAACGGATAGGCTTAGTGGCTTGTTTAAAATTTCATAAGTTCTTCAAATACAGGTTTTCTTATGCTCAGGCTCAGACTCTTTTTAAGAATGTATAACACAGACCCATCTAAGTTCCTTTTCCTTTCCATGCACTTTATTTCCCTTTCCTTGAACTACAAACAAATACACAGAATTTGGGAGGGCGAGAGCCTCAAATTCTCCAAAGATGATATAAAAAACAGTATCAGTATCATTCCATGGAGTCAAATGGAAGTGGCACAAATTGAAAGGATAGACATACCCAAATGAGCTCAAATCCTCTTGGTAATAAATAGAGCTTACATTTGCTATATGGGTATGTGAAATATAAAATAAGTATATGAAAGTGGATGTGACACATGTCCTAGCAAGGGCTCCATTCACGAACAGATAGAAAGCAGAAATCAAGCTCGACTGTAGAGTCAAATTTTTAAAAGCTATATTTCCATACAGTTTTCAAACACATGTAAAACTCTTTTTCATGTAAAATAAATATAAGTCCTGAGTAGTTTTAATTAGCGATCTTGGAGACATGCTGCACCTGTTCCAATTCATCTGGAGAGATGAAAACCCCTTCACCCTTTTCATTTGCTGACAAGTTAATAGACATTTCCAACTCATGCCGGCACATAGAGCTTTGCAGCTTTTCTTGTGACAGGTGAATAATAAAGCTGCACAAGAATGTGGCAACTGTACATGGAAAACCCTCAGTGCGTGTGAATTCCTGACCGGTGAGGATACATCCTCCCATTGTTCTGCAGGCCTGTGCTTGTGTAGCAGATACATCATGTTGTTTTTATTAACAGAGTTATTGAGATATAATTTACATAGCATAAAATCCACTCATTTAATGTGCACAATTCAATAATTTTTAGTACATTTACAGAGTGGTGCAACCATCATTACAATTTAATTTAGAACATTTTCATCATCCCCCAAAATAACTTTGGCCCATTTATAGTGACTCCTTATTCGCAACACCTCTCAGCTCTGGGCAAGCACCAGGAGTCTTCATTTTTAATAAATTTGAGTAGAGATGATATTGACTCTTCCATACACTTGCTACTTTGTGTATTGAATCAATGAGGAATTAAATGGCACATTTATGCATTGCAGAACATAATATAGTATGGGTATTATATGGCTACATCTTTGTGTATGTTATGAGCATTTGTGTTCATGCATTTAGTCACACGGTTAAAAGAAAATGCAAGAAATCATCCATGCAGAGAAGCCGAGGTTGGAAGTCAGCTTACACTTTGATAGCAAAGCTGTTAGCAGGGATATTCAAGATGAGTACCGCCAGATGCATTTTACTGAGAAAAGACAAAAATACAATTACGGTGTATTCTCATTACTTGGGAATCTCTATTTACAATTTGC